CCATTTAACATGTCAGTATTGAGGACTAACAAAATTGACTAGTTTATCTATTTATTGTTATATTCATAGCTATTAGAATAATAGATAGTTTTGTAATTAATACAAATGTTGGCGGTTATTTTTGTAATTATGTTCTCTGTATGAATACTGCAACATTTCTCATCAATATACAGAATCATTTTCACTCCCAAATTTCTTCTGCGCAACTTCTCTCTCCAGAACGCTCCTTGTGCGTTCTGCAATTTTTCCACCAAAGCTCATCAAATTCGTTTCATTTATCTTCAACTCTGAGTTTTAAACTCTAATATGGTATCAGAGCTTCAACATTTCGTTGATTGGGTTGGTTTTGTCTTCAACAAAATAAGCCCTAGATTCTCATGTCTTGTTTCAACTTTCGATTATTCGAGAGTCAATTGTGGATGCAGTTTCAAGCAATCTAAGTGTGCTGAAGTTGAAGGAGTTGCTTGCGAATCCATTCTTTATTCATCCGATAGTGAGTTCTTTTCTGCTCACTTAATCGCGATTAACAGATTCTCATTATGTTGATTCTTCAGTAAGGTTTAACAAACGGTGTAATGATTCGGAAGCATTACATCTGTCATTTACCAAAGATCAGCAACAACAACCGATAGTCTTAACTATTAATACAGCCGTAGTTTCAGCCCCATACATTAATACCTTGTCAACCAAATTTCAATCTGAACCAGGTAACATCTTTCATTACTGTTCTCGTGCAGCGATGTGAGAGTTGGATAGTTGGATTATTGATTCTGGGGCGACTGACCATATCGTTAATAATCTTGAAATGTTCTCCTCATATCAACCAGCACATAATTTGTTCATAAAGCTGCCTAATTCACAAACTGTTACACTTACACATATAGGAAATGTGTATGTTTGTCGATCACTTACTCTAGAAAATGCTTTTGTTTGTGGCAAATTTTGCTTTCAATCTCATATCAGTTAGTCGTTTACTTCAAAATCCAAATTACTACTTGACTTTCTAAAATAATTGTTGCCTTATTCAGGACACACAAAGGATGATTGATTTAGTTAGAAAGCGACATGAATTATATTATCTTGATGCTAAAAAGACAAAAAAAATTTGACCTGTTGATTCTGCTGTAAAATTTGTAAAATCAGTTTCCTTTACTTGTTCTTGTGTTGTTAATAATTTAAATTTGTGGCATTTTTATCTTGGTCATCCTTCTACGCAAGACTACAAATACTCCGTCAAATTGACAATTTTATTACTCCTTGTTCAAATCTTGTGTGTGATGTTTGTCATTATGCAAGACAACGAAACCATTTTTTCCCATAAGTAATCTGTAAGTGTAAACTGCTTTGATCTAATTCATGTTGATATTTAGGTTCCCTTTTCAGTTGCTTCCATCTATGGTCATCATTACTTCCTTACTATTGTTGATGACAAAAGTAGATACGTGTGGGTTTTTCCGATGAAGATTAAAGCAGAAGCAGGGAAAATTGTGTCCAACTTTTTCTCTTATGTTGAGCCACAGTTTCACACAAGAATATAAAATGCATAAGGACATATAACGGCCAAGAATTTAAGATGCCTGAATTCTATGCAGAAAAAGGTGTTATGCATCAAAAATCTTGTCCAGACACTCCTCAACAAAATAACATGGTGAAAAGCAAACACCAACATATCATGAGTGTGGCAAGATCGTTAAGATTTTCTACCTATGAATTCTGGGTAGATTGTGTGGTACATGCTGTGTACTTGATCATTCCATACCCTCTCCAGTCATCAATAATAGTACTCCATTTGAGCTTTTAATTAATGTTACTCCTACATTCAAACACTTAAAGTGTTTGGATATCTTTGTTATGTATCGACCATTGATAATCGGAGATCAAAGTTTGCTCATTGAGCCACCAAGTGCCTCTTTCTCCATTATCTTGATGATATGAAAGGGTTTCAAGTATATGAACTTGAAACACATAAAATATTTATTTCAAGGGATGTCCATTTGTTGAAACTATTTTTCCTTTCTCATGTGTATATTTACAATTTATTTTCTTTAGTCTGCAATGATCGAACTATTTTAATATACTTTTGATTTTTTTTTCAGTATTTTCTCAATCTATCAATTAACAACTACTAATTTTTTATAACAATTATTAATTTGATTCAATTAAACATGTGATAATTCAATTTATCTACGTTAATTTGACTATATTATTTATATTCATGTCTCTATTAACGCATAATAATATATATCTAATTAATTGAATTTTATTCTTATTATTTTAAAATCATTAATCACAAATAACATTATGAACTGGTCAATTTTCATAACATAATTAAGTTCAATACTGTTAAATTGTAACCATAAGAGAGCTAAAAATTAAATTATAAATTTACTTTTAATTTAAGTTACGATAATTATTCTAGTGAAGAAAAATTAGCCAAACATAGTGGATTAAGCAAGAAAAATTAGCCAAACACGGTGAATTAAGCAATAATAATTATAATTGAGAGAAATCTAATCATACAATAATAAAGAATAAATTTATAAAAAATTTCAAAAACTAGCGTTCAAGATCTAAAAATTTTTAAAACTTTTATCCCCAAAAATATATAGAAATATTTATATATATATTACTTGATCAGTTTCTCTCCCTTTCAACCTCTCTGTTTTACTTGTCTTTCCACTCTCCAATCAGCTCGTTTGCCTTCTACTCGCACTCAGGTTCTCCACCAATCTGTCACCCAGCTTTACTCTCGCTTCTGCAAGTTTCTAGTTTTTGTCGCTAGTTGCTTGCTTCGAGTTTTGCTTTCTCTCTCTAACTCCCATCTCTCTATCTCTCTACAGATCTCTAATAAAGCTTCCACTCTGTCTCTCTGTCTTTTCCCTTTCTATCGCTGCTCTTCTTCTTTTTTGTAGGCAACAAAAGTTAGGTCTTTTCCTTTCGCATGCCTCCAACTTTCCTTTTCCAGCCTCTTCCTTCCGTTTATGTATTGTTTTCATCCTTCTAATCTAATTTTGTTTTAGGTGTCTGATTCCTAGCCTCAAAACAACATCGTTTTGAGCATTGGTTGGCGGGGTTGCTGCTACAAGTCTGGACCTGGTCTTCTTTCTCCTTTCTTCTTCTCTTTTGAGCCTTTTTTTAGTCTTTTCTTCAACATACAAGTTGCATCAAAAATTCAATTCATAAATTGATTTTTAACCAAAATTCATTCAAACCTTCTTCCAAATTTAAGTATAAAGGGTATAAAAATATAATAAAAATCTAACACATCCAATACTTCCAAACTTAAATTTTTGCTTGTACTCAGCAAAAGACTGAAAAGGAATAGTTAAGAGCATGTTTTTCCACCACGTTCATCTGTTCAACTTGATAGTATTAAAATTCTATTTCTTTCTTGCAATTGTTAGTTCGTTGAAAATTCAAATTGAATGTTGTAAAATATAAATAGATTATTAGCTATCATACCCCTTTACAAAATTTGTATAATTCTAAATATAAGTTCTTTCTCTAAATCTCTACCCTTGATTCATAAATTATACTTTTCTTTATTACTTCAACTATGGTAATAAACTTAATACTATTTACTATTCTTTTTCTTACAAATTCTTTCCTTGCGAGTGTGTTTTATGCTCCATCTCACATATTTATCTCAAACATATTACCGGTTAGTGCATTTTATACTCCATCTCACTCTTTCGCTTAAGGTGTGTATTTATTTATTAATTTATTTTTTTTCAAGTGAGTATGTTTCATGCTTCATCTCACGTTACATGTTACCTAATTTATCTTATTGACTTGTAACCATAGTTTAGGACTAGATCAAAGGAAAAAATTAAAACTCGCATTATTTATGTCCCAAGTGTAATGCCATAGATTAGGTTCATATTCCATTATCCTTACACCTATAAGTTAAAGGAAATATTCACTAAGTAATCTAATTATTATTTATAAATATCTCCAATTTTATTTTCATAATAACCACAATCTTAATCAGGATAAAATCTCAATTCCATCATACTTCACTGATTACTTATGAAGAAATCTTAGCCCTTTAATGTATATAAAAGAGAAAAGATAAATTAAAAAAAATATGGCAATTTAAAGCTCTAAGGACCCAATACCCCCAAACTTATTTCAAATAGTATCCTCACCATTTATGAACACATTATACATAAGAAAATAAAATGAGAACAGTGAAGAAACGAAACACTCTCCTTGCGTGATGCCCATGTAGCCTACTCTAAAAGTAGTGACTAGAATTTTGTACTAAAAATTGTTCTACAACAAAGCATATATCATTATTATCGAAAAACATATTCAGTAGACCTCAATTAAGAATACACAAGCATTAGCAATACAATTATAAAGTAAGAGGAAGATGCGGAAAGAAAATGAATAAAAAAAATGTAGGATTCCATAAAATAAAAAAATATAAAATATTGTACTTATTTGTCTAATACCATCTATATTGGGTTGCCCCCCAATCAGCGTTTTGTTTATACTCATTAGCGTGACTTTGCAGCAGATGGCTTAAGTGGGGCTAGGGTGGATATCGACATATCAAAATTTCCTCCCAAAATGTGCGTACCTTTTTTCGATTTTTCCTGTATTGCCCCATCCTCTTTTTGATCATCCTTTTCAATTGACTTGGTCATTTTCTATCTTGGTGAGACTTTTGTACACACTTATCAATTATATTAATTTTAAAGCACTCATCAGTGTCTAAAAGAAATTTTGAGAAAAATGTTAAAATTTACATGTTCGTCCCCAACTCATAAAGTTAACTTACCATCCTGCACATTGATTAATGTTCTGCCTATCGCGAGAAAAGGTCTCCCAAGTATGAGTGAAACTTCTCTATCAACCTCCATGTCAAAAACCACAAAATCAACCAGAATATGAAGTTTTCCATCTTTACCAGCATATCCTCTACTATTCCTCAGGGGTATCTCGTCGATTTATCTACCAATTGCAATGACATTATTGTAGTCCATCTCACCAATACCTAGTGTTTTGAATATAGAGTAAGGCATTACATTAATACTAACACCAAGATCAGAAAGAGCTTTATTAAAATCAAAGTTGCTAATATTGCATGGTATAGTAAAACTCCCTTGATCTTTCACTTTAGGAAGTAGTTTATTCTGAATGATAACATCACATTGCTTAGTGAGCATAACTGTGTCATGGCCTTCCAAGGTACCTTGAGCTCTTCATTAATCATACTTACTAATTGACCCATACAAATTTCCAAGTTCTTGATCGACATTTGCTGGTTTTGCAACATTAGTTGTTTATTTTGAATGGCTGCTTCAGTCTTTGTTGTAAACTCTGTTGTGTTCTTATGAATGGCTGCAATCATATCTTCAAGTGAGGGCTTCTTTTCTTGAGGCTAAAATCCTAGAGGAGGCCTGGCTATTTCTGTTGATTCCTCCATAAAAAAAAAATTAGATGATCTCTTATCCCAAGATTATACATGTTAGCGTATGGATTGTATAGTGGTCTGCTCTGTCTAGCTAAAGTTCACTTATTTGATCTGATGACCTTGAAAAGGTTCTTCAAATAAACCCTGCACATGAGAATTAACAACATTAACACTCTTTTGATCAATTTTCTTAAATAAACAATCAATTTTTGTATTAAGAGTAGTTAAAGCATCAATCTCATATAATCCAACATTTTTCTTGGGTTGCAATATTTGTAATATCCCAAATGCTAATTAAGACAAATGGATATCAGATACAGATTCATAATAACGAGTGTATGATAACATTTATGGAGCAGAACAATTAATACAAATTTCTTACAAATATATATATAAGTTCTAATTACATACATATAATTGAAGCCTAAAGTGATAAAATACAATAAACAAAACATAAAGGAATTCCGCTTCTTTCACTATGTTATTGAATTCATCAAAGTGCGAAAACAATCATGCACTCAAATTCTGTGAATCCACGGGATCCTCATAGACTTCCAAGGGTAGATCAGCCTGTAGTTCCTCATTTTCCTCTTTATCTCGTGGGGGCAAGGAAAGAGTGAGTTCTATATGTTCAGCAAGGAAAACAATATTAAATTAACATTGTAAGGTTTTAAAGGTAAATTATTTTAACTTAAAAACTTAACATTTGGCCACTTCATAGACCAATCTTACATCATCAAAATAATTTATTTATTAAGAAAACAGTACATTAATATGAATAAATCAAACATACATCATGCCAAATAATAGAAAAAATCAAATAAATCATGAAATGCTCATATTTTTATGTCATGCTTTGCGAAATTGTTACAATTCCATCTCTGAAGGTAGATACAGATTTTCAACTATCTAAGTGGAATGACCAAATCATATACAGATACGGCAATTTGCTCAGACCTATTTCTACCTGGCCAAACTATGGTAAGATCTACGACCACAGCCATACCAACCATAGTGGCCCTATCAGATATCTACAGTTATGATAGTATTTAGCCAAGGGTGACACCTAACAGATATTCATGTTACCACTCTCGTCAGAAGGTATGCCATCATTCACTAAGAGCAGTCTTCTTACATCTTTGCGGACCAGATGGGGGAAGGGGAAATAAATACCCCAAAGGGCTAGGGGAACAGATACCCTCAGAGATAAAAAGCTAACGAGACACTTGGTGCAATATGCATGCCAATACAGATATATATTTTGGACCATTCATACTTCATTCCACTTTTCTCTTTTCTTTTTCTTTTTATTCTTTATTTTTACCAGGCAATAATACTGACTTCATATTATATTTTATTACATACAAATCATAAAGTGTTTATAATTCACATAGCATGCTTGAAAATAAGAATAATCTGACTTATCTGAACTATAAATGCAAAGGCATACAAGCGGACAAAATCACAATCATC